ACACAGTGTGACTGGTAGAATCCTGACTGGCAGAGCCGCTGGGTGGGGTGGGTTTTTTCTTTGTTGGGCCCCTGAGGTGGGGAAGCAGGTCCTTTCTCACTTCCTTCTCAGCCTCTGAGGCTGGTCCCTGAGCTGGCCAGTCTGGGCCCCTGTTGTTCTTGCTCCCAGAATTCCTGGCATTTCTGGCAGAGTTTCAACTGGATCGGGGCTGGGGAGGAGGGCAGAGCCTGGGGATGGGGCCAGGCAGTGGGTGGGAAGGCCTGGTCAGGAACAGGTGCGGGAACAGGCAGTTCTTTCAAATCAGTGGTGCTGCCTGGCCTAGTCTGGTTGGCATGGTGTGTGTTTCTGTGTGTGTCTACTGTGCATCTGGTCCTTCATCCAAAGAGTATGTGCATGTGTAACATGCTGACTGATTGTTTGGGCAAATGTGTTAATGTGTCCTTGCTAGAGTTTGAGAAAAATGACTTTTTCTCCTTTTCTTTGGTCCTTGAACACTGCTCGGCACCTAGGGATTAAGCCTGGGCAACTCTGGGGAGGTTGGAGCACCCTTCTCTAACTCTGGTCCTGCCCCATTGTGCAGGCTTCTCATGGGCGCTCCCCAGGCCCTGGCTCTTCCTGGACAGCAGGCGAATCGCACTGGAGGCCTCTTTGCTTGTCCTCTGAGCCCGGATGAGACTGACTGCTACAGAGTGGACATCGACCAGGGAGGTGAGGCCTGGAGCAGTAGAGCGGGCCAAGCACAGGAGGAGGGGAAGAGAGAGAACTTGTCCTCTTCTTCCATCCTCTGATTCCCAGTGTCTTGCCTCCAGCTGATGTGCAGAAGGAGAGCAAGGAGAACCAGTGGCTGGGAGTCAGTGTTCGGAGCCAGGGACCTGGGGGCAAGATTGTTGTGAGTACTGACTGCTTCTTGTGACTGAATGCAAGGGTGCTGCTGCTGCTGCTGCTGAGTGTGTGGGGTGTGGTGGACTTATGCTGTGATTCCCAGGGCCTTTGGGGGATATAAAAAGTATAAGATGTGGTCTCTATACATTTATACATTTGAAAGCATCTAATCATCCAGCTATTTGCCCAGCTCTTATTGAGAACCTTCACAGCATCAGGCATTGTGCTAGTTACTGAGAGAATATCTAAAGACAGGAGGAAGGTCCTACTAACTAGTTGCAGAGATTCTCATTTTTCTTTTTTTCTCTTTCACTAACTTGGAATTACCAGTACAAATCACTGTGGGGCCAAATATGATTAACACTAAGTGAGTGATCCAGTCCCCGGTCCAGGAGTACAAAGGAGAAGAGGAAGTATTCCTGCAGGTGTGATGATTTGAGCCAGGCTTTTAAGAATGGGCACGAGCCAGGCATGGTGGGCATGCCTGTAATCCCAGTTACC